AATTATTTAGGCCCCTACATTACTATCAACCTAGACTCCTCACCAGCAGCCGTCCGGAAGCCCCTGCGATGCTTCACTGATTCGTGCTTGAGGGGGAGTGGGAGGGGTCCCTATGATAGTCCCTATATAAGCCCTTATAGTAGTCCTTATACCCTCCTCCACTCTCGCTTACTGTAAGCACCAGCAAGATCAGGACTTGTTTCAGGGTTCCGGGTGTCCTCAGAGCTCTGGCTTCAGCAGTAACCATGCGAATCCTACCCTCAAGAAAACCTAGAGACCCTGTCTCAATGCCAACCTGTCACGCAACTCTGCAACTCACGAAGCCTTGTCAAGTCTGCGTTAGCCGTTGGCCCTCCAACTTCTCGGACCAGAGCACTTAGCATAATTCGGGTATAAACAGGCCTATAGTAATAGTTAGGAGTAGGGTTTAGGGTTTAGGGTTTAGGAGTACTTCCATCTCGAGATACAACCTATTTACTAAGTACCTGGATCCTTGAAGTCGGCCGAACCCTGCCAACTGAGCTGACGACCAACTTCTGTCCACCAGGACGTGATAAGACCGCGGCCGCGGGTCCTTCTTAGTTCCGAGTTTGGGCAGTGACATGTGTGCGGTTTAAAGTCGTCAGAATTGCTGCAGAGAGCTACGACTAGGGCTTCGGATCAGTGTAAGCCTGAACGCCAGGTGCGAGGGAGTCGCACCGGGCTGTGATGTCCAAAGTTTCTACATGCCAAACTCTGTCCACTCTGCCCAAGCTCTACATGGCTCTACCTTGTGTAGGGCAACTCAGCAGTCAAGAAGCCAGAGCGACGTCTTCGGCTAAGTGCAACAAAGGTGTAACTGCTGTGACACCACAGACAGGCGAGGCATCACAGCTTCAAGATGGTCTGGCAGTGATCCGGCTACAGTCCTTCTGCTCTAGGGATGGATACAGAATTGAAGATGATGGTGGTGGTGATGATGATGGTGACGCTGATGACGATGCTGCTGCTGATGATGATGGTGATGTAGGCCTGTGGGCTCCACATGTCAGCTCGGATCGCGTCGCAAGTAGGCTTCGCCAAGGTTCTACTGGGAATTGAATTGAATCGGCTTATTCGTAGCCTGATTTAGGCTGTCATTTTGCTTTGCGATGGGCTGTTTTGGACTGGCTGGTTATCGGTGCTAGAGGGGGGGAAGAGGCCGACGTACTACACCTCCCAACCTGCCAAATAGGCGATCATCCACAGCTTAAACCCCGATGCCGAACGCCATGTGTGGTGAAAAGGTTGCCTGCTAAAGTAGAGTTGGACAATTTGAGAACAAACGCTTTTCGCGGGAGGAATGTATGCCATGCCGTACTTCTGCATCTGGAGTTTGTCTTGAACCCGGGTTGAGTGGACTATGCCGAAAAATCGCTGAGATCGTCCCAGGTGCCTGGACAGGAGCCCGCTGACAACTTGCTGCACCTGCATGTGGAAAAGGCTCTCTGATGCAAAGCAAAAGGCTCTCTGATGCAAAGCTCGAAGTTCGTGCATGGCTGCTCGAGAAGAAACACAAGGCAGATGCTACCAGAATCTCTGAAGTATATCTATTTGTATGCATATGGGCGTGGGCAAAAGTTCAGCTCCTGTCTCAACCTGAAGTAGTGTCGCCTGTTTTGGACTATGCCGGGCATCTACTCGTTGCATTCGCTCATACCCATCTTCCAAGCTGTGCTACACCGTGTATCGCATTTGCACTGCATGGCGGGGTTATGTGGATGTTAATACCCTAAACCCTAAACCCTAAATGTTAAGCCGTAAATCCTAAACCCTAAATGGCGGAGTGAAGACTGTCAGATGCAAGCTTTGGAAAACGAGGGTTCCCCAGCGAAGACGTTAACAAGTAATTATGGTCGGTAACAAACGCACAGATGGAGGTAAACAAACGCGACACTCCAAATGTCCATGCCCACGTGGCATTCCGTTGTTGAGCAGGGCACCACTTCCGAGGATGTCGAGCTGAGGGTGTCTGTCTGAGTCGACAGTTCGTCAGTTCCGGTTACAAATGCCATAGCCGAAATGCTGATACAACATAAATTTGCTAGACCCACAGTCGATGCCATACGGCCTGATTCAGACCTCATGCGAGGCTTTATTCTACATCCCGGTCTCGAAGCCCTCGACCCCAAAGCTGCTAGGTGCGAAGAGATAGCAAAACTCATCCCCAGGAAACGGCACCTCGTCGTCTCGCTGGCTAGCCAAGGCTCGGAGAACCTGAAGTTGCGGGTACATGCTGAGCTCAGGATACAGTCTGGGGGTAGTTGTTGATATAACCGGAGCTGAGAGGCCTGGATTTGCAAAGCTGAAGCAGGATGAAACCAGATGCGAATCTGCTCCAACTCCCACCTCGACGACTCGGCGGGGCGACAGCTCTGTGTTGACGCCTGCATCACTCAATCCGTTTTGCCGGGGAAGGGGGGCTGGCGGCTGTAGCACTCAGCAGGGAGTGCGGTATGGTTAAGTGGTTTAGGCTGCGTAGTCAGGGCTGGCAAAAAACTCGTGAGGCATGTCATGGAGCAGCCGTACGAGTCATTCCTGCAGAGTCTCCTCCTACACCGTTTGAAGATACTTCCATGCATGCTATTTGCTCACATCTTCACCCCAAGGCGTCTAGTTGGGACTACACAACCCCTTCCCCCTCACCCAAAAAAGACAAAGCAAGAACAACCACACATCAAGATTTCTCAAGCTTGCCTGCACCCTGAAGCCCAATTCCCAATAATGCAAATTACCTACACACATACATACACACACAGACATAAATATACACACACAAACACACAACAACACCAACACAAACACACACACACACACATGCACATGCATGCGCAAAGCTGCACTATGCTGCTAATGAACCAACCCCAGTGTCGATGAGCTATGAGCCCAAAGCAAGGATGGGTGAGGGATCGCAGATAATTCATTCTTACTTCTGCACTACAACCAAGGAAAACGAAACTTTACAACGTTCGGCAAGGAGAGGATACTCCTTCGCAGTCCTTAGCATACTAAACCAACACTCAGAACCCCTAAACCCTAAACCCCAAACCCAAAGCCCCTAAGCCCTAAAGCACTCAGAGACCCAGGCCTTTCTTCGGATCCACGTCAACGCCCAGCAGGGCCAGGAAAACAGAGGCAGAACTCTGCAGGTAAAGCTCCTCGTCAGGCGATCTGAGCTTCACTACTCGCATGGTTGGTGGACTTCTGGTAGAAGCCAGAAAATTGGAAACCCAAGTGCCTCAATCGTGACGAGTAATGTATAGGCTAATCCCAGCACTAGTTGTCGTTTTCCAACTTTTTGGGCTGTGCTATAGTAAATGTGTAAGAAGTAGAGCTGCAAGTGCCCTAACTGGGACCCCAACTGGGGTCATCCAACTCATAACACTACTGAATAACTCACATGATTGCTGCTGGCTGCTTCGTACACAGAGCACTCCCCGCGGTTCGTATGAATATGACTGAGCTGCTAAGACTAGCCGGCTTCTACCGTATGAAATCAAGGGAACTACGGAAGGCCATGTACCTGTGAACCTTCACATCACAGCTACTTGTAGCTATAGTCCTCCCGATTCTACAATTCAGTCCGAAGGAAAGGTCTAAGGTATCGCTCACCTTGAAAGGGTTTAAGGCCATCGGAAACAATTCCCAACTCCAGCCCCGCACAGAGCAAGCACCTCGTCTTGGGAGAGCTTTGGCTGGAGTGCATCCAACAAACCTAGGTTTAGGGTCCATAGGGTTTAGGGTTTAGGGTTTAGGACCCAGGGTTGTGTTCGAGGTTCTTTGGCTCGTCTGGTTTGGCTTTGGCACTTGGATGGCTCGCTTGATGCGTAGAACTGAAGACTACAGGCTCTTGCTGATAAGGTTCAAATGGTGTTGGCCGTTCATTCTAAACTTGCACAATTTGGTAGGACAGTTTTTGTTATGGGGCTGCTTACAAGGAAGGACACAAATGCGTGGGGAGGCCAGACGTATGGGAAATTCTTGAGTCATAAACACAGCTTGACGGCTGCTCTATATCCGTATCCACCATTGTCCACGGCCTAAGGAAGCTGCCTTTTCTTGGTTTCTTTGCACTTTGACAAAGCAGAACTCGAGGTTAAAACCCGGGAGAAGGATATGGGAGTTTCCGAAAATAGGGGACCCTAAAATGGCACCATAAATCGTAGGATTCTTTTTATAAGGACCCCCCCAAAATACGGTACCCTAATTTTTGGAAACTCCCATACGATATGACTGCCCGAACTTCCCTCCTGAGCCCCAACACGGGGCCTTCACTGTTCATCTGCACCGAGGCGGCCCTGAAATGATTGCATATCTACGAGTCTTTGCCGACCAAACTCAACAAACCCTCAACTCCCCTACAATGTCAGAATCCAATGGACGGCAAAGCTCATAAGCTTTGTACAACTGTTGTTCCCAACAGCTTTCATGCATGCACTGCCAGAAAGCCCCCATCACATGCCCATTTTACAAGAGACTCAGCCTATGTCAAAAAGTCACCATGCCAAATCGAAACCCCAACACGTTGCAAGCACTAAGCCCCACTGAACCAAGAAGGAACCTATCTTTTAGAGCAGACCCTAAACCCTAAACCCTAAACCCTAAACCCTAAACCCCTAAACCCGAAACCCTAAACCCTTGAACCCCTAAAACCCTAAAACCCTAAACCCTAAACCCTAAACCAGGAGGCTGTCCGGCGAGACCATCTTGGGCCCCTTCGGGGTGATCACCGGCAGTGGCCTCGACTCAGGAGATTCGAAAGCTCGGGGGGCCGAGGTTGGCATGGCCGGCTTCACGGTTAGGGTTTAGGGTTTAGGGTTTAGGGTTTAGGGTTTAGGGTTTAGGGTTTAGGGTTTAGGGTTGGAGTGTCCCTACGGATCCCGGGTCTTAGGGTTTAGGGTTGGGTTTAGGGTTTAGTGAGGGAAGATGGGGGGTGTGCGGAGCGGCTCATGGGTAGTGAGCAAGAATACGACAGGCAGCTTATATGGGAGTTTCCGAAATAAGGGGTACCTTCTTTTAAGGTCCTTATAGTAGGGATCCTACTATTTAGGGTGCTACATTAGGGTCCCCTATTTTCGGAAACCCCCATATGGCAGTTGGGAACAGTTCCAAGTCGTTTTCTTCAAAGGTCGACTGAGGCTTTACTCCCAAGGAAAACAGGACTACATGAATTCGGCCTGCCACGACAGCTATAATGGCTGCTGAATGCAGTTACGCCGGCTAAGATGGGTTGCTATGCTGCACATAACCTCCCACGGACCATATCGGTGTCTAGGACAAAACAGCCGGCCCTGGATTGCTACGATTCGGCTTCGGGAGTTTGCACTTGCAGAGGTCCGCGATTCAGGAAGCAGGCTTCCGTGCAAACTTTTTAGGGTTTAAAGCTTCATGGGTGTAGTGCTAAGGGTTGTAGGGCGTTAAGGGCGATGGGCTTGCAGCTATATAGCCCCTTCTCAAAAGCATGGAATACCCATCTGACACCGCAGTGAAAGAGTCGCACCAAACCGTCGTCTTCCAGCCGAATGGAAGTTACACACGCATGAAGTAGCAGAAGCAGGTAAACCAGGAGATCTCCGCCCGGTACCTGTTGCATTTTTCACACATCCCGCTCTCTTGTACAACTTTTGAGCAACGTTTGAGCCCCTGGCGGCGGCGGCGGTGTGGGCAGGGCACCTCGAGCATGCACAGCAATGGCTCTGTGTGGCTAGACTGAGCTTCACTGGTCTTTTCTGCCGTATGCAAATAGAGCGCTTGTGTGGACTTTCTCTTATACCCTAAACCCTATACCCTAAACGCTAAATGCTAAACCCTAAACCCTAAAACCCTAAACCCTAAAACCCTACACCCCAAAGTGATAAAGCAAAGGCTTGGAGAAGGCCGTAAATACACACGAGAAGCCTCGACCTGCCACGCTGTGCATTCAGCTAAAACCGCAAAGCTGGGGAACTCCAGAGGGTCTAAAGGCCCATGGGCGCTGAGAGTTGAAGCTGAAAGGTTGGTATGGCAAACTCAAGACCTGCACCCACGAAACCCGCAACCTATTCCTCTCTAGTACTAGCAAGTTAAGCCTCAGCTTTGATAGATATGTTGAAGAGGAGCAGATATGAGCAGATGCCTTCCTGATGGCCCCTTGGTCCACTCTTCCTCGAACCCTGTTGCGAGCTGAGCGCCGAAGACGGGCACGCGTGGCTTCAGCGCAGCCTGGAGCGGGGAGTTGGAAGTTTGAGGAATCGCCAGGTGAGACATGTACGCTGTAGGCGCTTTTCTGGCGCGTCTCCGCCGCACCGTGTTGCCCGATGTGCAGCATGTCCTATGCATAATTGTTCTCTACAACTACGGTTTGCAAGCTTGGTAGAAGATTATTGTGGGATGGGAAGTTGATGACGAACTTGTAACCGGACATATAAGTTGGTGGGCTCAGGCGCGGTCAGAGCCATCATTCTCTGCGCCGGCGCAAATCTCAGGGTTTTTCGATGCTAAAAACCATGCTAAGTTTATTGATAACATGACCAGTGGTGGCAAGGGCCCAAGCAACCATCAATGGAAGTGCCTGACGTTGTGATGATATCTGCTCTGCGATGCCGGAGCCGATGTTATGCATGAGGCCTCGAATTCCGAAGCCTGTTGCAACTTCTCGATGGGCCTACAATGTGAGCTGTCCTTTGCGGAGGATTGGGCAGCAAGGTGATATGAGAACCAAGGGCTATGCAAGGTTTAGGGTGCGACGTCTAGAGCTGCAATTTCCACAGACAATACAAGTGGGTGGAACAAACCGAGTCTCTGCCCCCAACCCGGAATACTCAAGACGACCTTCAGACAATGATCCAAAAATCTAAACTCCAAATACTGGCACAGCCTGCCTGCAGGTCGAGGTAGGCTCTTCTAGTGCTCGTCCGCCTTGGGCTGTTAATTATGGGGCTCGTTGTCCATCTAGGCTTAAGCACCGTGCTTAGCTGATGGCTACTTTCGGGTTCAGACAATGCTTCATACTTACTTCTTCCCAAGCGTGCAAACAGAAAAGTCAATCTTTTGATCCTGCTCCTTTGAGTAATTAAGCACTGCCATGGAACTCTCGGGGCAACGTATGCACTGAGTGGTTGCTTGCCTGCGTACAAGAATGATATGCGCGAATGGCCAGGGTGATTGGTAAGTAGTTACATGTTATATGCAAGTAGAAGGAGAAATAACGCTGACTGAGGGGATGTTGTGAAGCGAAAGCTCACGGAGTCACGGTTGATGTCAACCGTTGTTATTATCTTTATTGGAGAGTTGAGGCATTCAGCTTGCCCTGAGCTCAATCTGAGTGTCACCAAACACAACAAATCACCAGCCTGTCTTTGACCAAATGCAGAGATGGTTCAATCAAAACTAAGCGAGCTTAAGTGGATTCCTTGCTCCTCTCATCACACGTGCATTACACTTATCTCATCACGAACAGCCTTGATACTTAAGAATCGAAACGTGAAGGTCCTTGCGAGCTGAGATTGCAGCACAACCAGGTCCACAGTGGTCGAGAGCTCCTCTGGCACAATTGCTTCCGATGTACATTCTATCAGTTATATCCAATGTATGGTATACTGATGATCTACATCCCATGTATTTTTTAAACTGTACATCTAATATAACATCTTTTACTATGTAAAGAACTACAGGACTGCTTCATGAAAAGTAGTTCAATACAATTCAAGTTATGTCAATTGCATCGTGTTGTAGCTTCAGCTCTCGCTCTTGGCGGCGATCGGGAGACAACGCTTTTCGTACCCCCGTCATCGTCTTAACTAATTCTGATCATAAACCTCACCGAATTGTGGTGATTCGCAACATCCTCCGGGTTGCGATCTTGTTCGCCGGTATACTGCTGCACAAGATATGCATCTAGTCTGGAGGGCCTCCGGACACCCAAACTTGAAATCCCCTCCGGCTGCTTGTCTGCACATGCTTAGCCGTGTACTTGCATGGCTATCAGTACCAAAGAAATCTCGCCAGCCTAAACGCTAAACCCTAAAACCCAATGGCCCTACACCCCTAGCCCTAAAGCCCAATAGCCCTAAACCCCTAACCCCTAAACCCGAAACCCTAAACCCGAAGTCTTAAACCCCTAAACCCGAAACCCTGGGCCCCCGAGATGACATCTCTCAAGCCCTGAAGCAGACGGTCGCCTGGACCAACAGCGGCTTCAAGCTGCGACCTCCATCCCCCCGCAAACATGTGCTTTTAGGGTTTAGGGTTTAGGGTTTAGGGTTTAGGGTTTAGGGTTTAGGGTTTAGGGTTAGGGGTTTAGGGTCTAGGGTTTAGTTTTGGTGTTTTTTAGGGTGCTCAGGTTGAGGGGAAAGTATGCGAATAAGTGTTGGTTTTTAGGGTTTAGGAATAACGGCCTAGGATCTTAGGGCTTAGGAATAACGTCCTAGGATCTTAGGGCTTAGGAATAACGGCCTAGGATCTGGGATTCAGTGTTTACTTTAGTTGTATTAGGGCTTTTTGGGATTCGGGATGTGCAGTGTGGGAGTCTCTGGGCCCTTCGATGACGCGGAACCTTAGATGTGGCAAGACCTACGGTTGATGGGTTTAGGGTTTAGGGTTTAGGGTTTAGGGTTGATATAAATCCTGCATTACCCATAATAAGGAATTATACCATAATTCTCATAGTTCATTGCCCTTAAGGTAGTGCAGGATTTATATCATACACAGTATGGTAGTGGCTAACTTCAGAGTGCAGAGACCTACCAGGAGAAATCACAGTTCCTGAATGCGGCTTGAAATCCAAAGCATACTCCATCCCTTTGTAGCGCACTCGCACTCCCAGCTTCTTGCAATTTCGTGCCTGAGGGCGACAGCAGGAAGTCCACAACTTCCTCTGCGAACACCAAATGTGTGGTTCACCCGGTTGTGGATTTCTGGAGGACTGGCTGTTTGGGTCTTTCCCGGCTTGAAACTTCCCGATACTAACTTGGGGAGTCTCTTTCTGATTATCCAGACCGTAACCGGCACCCAGCACTCCAATTCCGGTACCCAGTTCCTTATCGCAGGGTTCAGAAACCTGGATTTCTCATCCCGCCCCCAGCCTCCTTCACTATCCGCCGCCGCGACCGTAGAGCGCAAGTTCCATCCCCCCCGAGTCTAAAATCAGGAATCCCAAATCGTGAGTCCCAAGCATGGCGCCAAACCTCCAATCAGTTGTACTACAGCCTGCGCACCCCAAACCCTGTAGTGTTCGTGTTTACATTCCCGAGCTGGCTCTTCCATTGCAACGCCGTGATCCTCGACCGAAGCTAGATCCGGAGGCTCAGCTTCAAGGTCTTAGATCACCCGAACCCCTAAACCCTCAACCCTGAACCCTAAACCCCGAACCCAACTCCCTAAACGCTAAACCCTGAACCCCTACACCCTAAACCCTAAACCCTGAACCCTACACCCAAAACCCTAAACCCTAGACCCTGAACCCTACACCCTAAACCCTGAACCATGAACCCTACACCCGAAGCCGGTCAGAAGTTCTGAGGCTTGAGGTTTAAAAGGTTGCTCGGACCTGCGGCCTTTGGGACGTCACTTCCTGACAACTTAGAGGTTTCTCAAAACAAGGCTCCTTTAAAGGGATCTGTAGGGGATATGATAGTATAGTGGATCTCCAGTGATCTCCAGCCCTCTCTCTCCCCCCACCCCACAGGAGAGCTTCAAGGCCTTGTACGGCCCAAACCGAGGGTTTAAGGTCTAGGGGTCTAGTTAGCGATTAAAGTTTGTTTAGGGCTTTAGCGTCTGGGCTTTGGGTTTAGGGTTCAAGGTTTGGGGTTTAGGCGTTTAGGCGCTACACATCCCAACGACTCCTAATCGCCACTCGAAAACAAAACCCTAACCTCAACCGCGAGACCCAGCAATGTAGAACTCACTAGCCCCTTTTCCACGCAAAGACAAAGAGAACTCTAAAACCCACACTCCTAAACCCTATGAGCCATAAACTCTTAAACCCTAAGCCCTAAACCTTGAAGTCCTGAACCCTAAATCTTTAAGCCCTAAGCCTTAGCCCCTAAGCCCTGTAAGCCCTATAAACCCCAAGTCTCCTGCGGGTTCGCGCCGTGCTCCGGAACCGCCTCGAAGTCAATGAATCCATCGGCGTTGTCAGCCCTGACACGCGAACGAATATAGGGGCCTTCATAATTACCTATACGAGTTTGGGGGCTCCTTATGATAACTATGGCACACTATACCACAAAAGCCTGTGGCTTATGTGCAGGGTTGGGAGGCGTAGGTTTTAGGCCTTCGGGTTTAGCAGTTTCAGTCAGGGTTTGGGGCGTAACCGGTTCAGGGTTGAAGGGCCGGCAGAAGCAAGCTGCGTTGCCAAAGAGCTGCAGGAAAATGAAAAATGTCCAAGCACGTGAAACAAATCATTCTGACATACATGCATGTATGTAGGCATGAGCTGGGTTTCAACTGGCTCCCCTACATTTATGGAACCTCAAAGCGGGCTAATTTTGGCCTGCGGACTCGGAACCCCAAGGGTAACTAGCTCAGGGGAGAGATTGGAGCAGGCGAGCTACTGTGCTGAGTTGCGAATGTCGCCAACAAAAACTGGAGCTAATAGTGATTGACAAGAACAAGAACTCTATTAACAATAATGGTTATAGCAATGATGACAGCAACAATATTCGCCATAATCGAATACTGCCGTTACAAGTGCCAATGCATACTATTGCAGTTACCAGTAGTCTTAGGTTTACACTATATATGTATATGTACATGTATATATACTAGCTTTTTATACAGAGGTATTATCCTGGTCGAGGATTCAGGGAGCCTGAGGATCCAACGCATCTCAGAAAGAAAAGTTCAACAAGAGCCCGGCGCAACCCCAGGCCCCACACCACAGGGTTTGGGATTTAGGGTAATTCCGTAAAGACTGAAACCCTAAAGCCCAAACCCGAAAAGCTCTGAGCCCTGAGCCCTAAACCTGTAGGGTATACGACCCCTACAAGCCGCAAGCCCTAAACACTACACACCCTAAAGCCCCGAAGCCGAAATCGAAACTTGCCGGCGGCACGATGCGACGGCACCCAGCGCTGCCTGCCACAGAAAACTGCAAGCGATCGGCTTGGGGTGGAAGGTTTCGGGCTTAGGTTTAGCACTTAGCACTTTTAGGGACGCAACAGCGGGACCCCGAAGTGCGGAAACCCCACCTGGAGAAGCGCTGATAGTCGGACGGCCTGCACCTCAGTTAATCATGGTGCTGCTTCGAAAGCCTAATTCCTTGGGGTGGTTTATCCTGACATTTGGGGTAAGCCGATTACTCCATAGCATTCGAAGCGGATCACAAGCGGTACGTAAACGCGACCAATCGATGAAACTCCAAAGCTTGCATATGCCCTACATGCAGCATGTGTATATCATTGCACCTTGTCGCAGCTCTGTCAGCAAAACACCTCTGTTTCCCTGCGATCGGTCACAGGCTGGTCTTCCTGAAAAAAACTGATGAACTTTTGAATAGTCTGAAGCCTGCACTCCAGCTGGGAACCGTAAACCCCTGAAGTTTAAAGGGTCACCACCCTGTACTCTTAGCCACAAGCCTAGAGACCCTTTGAGCTTGTGGCCCGTCCATCCGCGTCCAAGAGCAGCTCCCTCAGCGCCAAGGTGAGCCTGAACATCGACTGATCCAGAGCTTGCAGCTTGCAGACCCCGAGTCTAGCCCTGTATTAAGCGGACTTAGAGGGGCGTAGCCCTAAACCCTCAACCCAGAACCGTGACTCTAGCTCTTGTGAGGCAAGACGAGAGAAGGGCCATGAGAACTGAGCTGGGTGTTATGGAGCGATGCAGAATCGGCTTTAGGTGGATCAGAGCAGCCTATCTGTGTTGTCGAGTGGGAGACCTAACATGGCTCCTGGGGCGTCCCAGATTAGCAGACTGGCACAGGTTCTACAGGTAAAACTCGCACAGCAATGCAAACCCGAAGCAGCAATGCAAACCCGAAGCAGCATACATGCACTCCCACACAGAAGGACCTGGCCTGCTGCTGCCGTCTGATCCCTGTCGGCGGCAGGCAACAGTGCATCTCAATTTCAGTCTCAACTGCTCCAGGACTAGCAGTTTACGCTTTTAGGGGTTCGGTTGTGCAGAACCCCTTTTCAGCGTAGCTAGCCCCGAAATCCTGTCTGGCTGTTTGCGACGTTCATGATTAGGGATGAGATGCGCGCTGATGCAACCAGGTTCGAGATACTGGAAGATGATGAAAGGAATACCTAGTGGTTGAAGCACTACACGGCATGCCTGGTGTTCTGTCATGGACTACCTTGTTGCAGAACACAGGCTAAACGCAATTTATTTTGCTTCAACGCCGGGCTCTGGCTGAAACAACGATGACCGTGCACCAACATAACGACACTGTCACTGGCTTGTTGAATTCAAGTGCCCCCCCCCCCCTCCAGTTTCTTCCGTGCCCTGTCGGGTGTCAAGCTGGATTACGGTCTACGATATTACAGTCTACGGCATAGGCTGAAGGCATTCCGAGGAATCTTTAACTCGACACTTCAATCCATTTTTCATGTTCGAAGGCTGCCTACCTCCAACATTCAGAACCTCCTAAGAAACGTTTTTGCACTTGTAAGTCTTGTCTTTGTTCTTGCATCTTCGCTGCGAGCACACAATGTCACAATCTATCAGCTCCTAGGAGCCTGTTTAGACCGGATTCGGTCAGGTACCCATATCTCGCACGGAAACCATTCCGAATTGGCCGGGACACAATCCTAAACGCAATCGGGATGGCTCCAAGAAGTGCGAACTTGAAGTTGCAATCTGTCGAGGTGGGAGGTACTTGCCGCGGCTTTACACTGCTAATGTCGATAGTTCGCTCAACTCCTTTGTATGCACCGGCCAAGCCCGAAATCCGTGCACTCAGCCTAGACTATGTTAAAACCGTGACAGTAACCCTCAAAGGAAGCCTGCATTATTAAAAGTTGAAAACCCTAACCCCCAAACCCTAAAACCTAAAGGGCTGCTGACGACATGCCAACAGGGCTGGAGCCTCCAATAGCTGCCGCACAACGAAAGGGTACGCCTGGGTTTTGAGGGTGTCTATCAGGGTTTCTGGAAGGGTTTTGTAAGGGGTTTCTATTCACAGGGTTTCATAAGGGCAGGGATTAGTTTTCACAGGGTGTTGCTATGGGAGATAAGGACCTTGAGGCTTAGGAATAAGGCTTATAAGTTATAAGGGCTCTACAAGGAAAGGTTTAGGGCTGAGGGCTAGGGTGGCGATTGTCGCTGCAGAAACCGGAAGCCTCAAACCAAGACAACATACCCTCCACCCCTGCCTCCTTCGAAAGCCTGAATACTTATAGAAGTTCGGACCCTTTGTGCCCTCGTGGTGTTGTAGCAACCCTCTGCAAACCTCCTAAATACTGCAACCAAATAAACCTGCGAAGTCGCCTGGTGAACCCCTGTCCGTGACCCTTAAACTTTGTCTCTTCTGAAACCAAGTTTCATCACACCCCAAATCTTAAAGCCTATCTAGTTGGTCCATCTCTTTAAATGATCATTCCCTTGTAGAAGCCTTGTCAGTACCCCTAACTAGCCCCTAACTGACCCTCTCAGCACTCTGACGAGTGACCTCGGCCACGATCCTGCGCACGCACGTGGCTTCAAATTCAGGTTGTATGCTACCGTACAAGGGCATTACTATAGTTCTAACAGGGACTAAGCAGTTCTTCCCGCCCCTATGTCGCGCTCACGAAACAAACTCTAAAGTGAACAGATCAAAGTCGCAGGAGCCGTGAATATATGCATTCCCACCAACTTGCATGCTCACCCCTCCCGGAGTCCAAAATCTCCCACCTGCTCAGACAGAATACCGCAGACAGATCCTGAACTGCAAAACTCAACATATCCCGAGCAACCTGAAACCTAGACTCCAAGACTAACTAGCTGCTGAACCCGAATCCCGAAATCACTGAGCAACCGCCGGTCCTGTAGTTCGGGTTGCCAGCCAGAGCAATACCTTGACAAACAAAAATGACGGCGACCCTAAGCCCTAAACCCCTGAACGTTCAACCTCCTCTTTTCAACACTACAATAGAAGCCCGAAAGTTGGAAACCAAGGTCTTGGGAATCCCAGCACTACTTGTCCGACTTTTGGGGGGTTACTAAAGGTAGACGCAAACCGATATAAGCCCTCCCGAACCTCTTGTACATCCCCAACTGTATACCCTAAAGAATCTTGCTGCTAGGGAAGCAGGAGGGCTGGGCTGGAGGCTTCAGCAGAGTTGAAGATTTTTTGGGGAGTGAAGTTGTTTAGGGTTTAGGGTTTTGGGTTTTGGGGATTTTGGAGTTGGGGGGCGCTTAAGCCCCAGTGTCTCCGTCTCCGAAATCCTGAATACAAGCTTTGAGAATTCTGAGTCCTGCCGAAACTCAACTACCTCATTGTTGAGTCTTCATCTTGGGCTGTTAGGGCTCTTGTTTCGGACTCAGGCTTTCGGAGTTTGTGCAATTAATATAGGAGCCTTAATAATTAGAATAAGGTTTTTTGGGGGGTTCCTTACTATAGTTATAGTATATTGTACACCAAAACCCTATCTATATATATATATACATACACATACTATTAAGGCCCCTATATTAGGGGGCTTCCGAAGGAAAAGGTCTGGCCTTCGAGGGTGGCAATGGATCGCGCCAGAAGACTCACCCAGGGCCTCACTTTGACCACAGTGGCGATTTTTAGGGTGTAGGGTTTAGGGTTTAGGGTGTAGGGTCTAGGGAGCCTAGGGTGCAGGGCTTAGGGTGTAGTGTTTAGGTTTTAGGGTGCAGGGTTTAGGGTTCACAGTTTAGGCTGAGGTTTCAGTTGTCTTCAGTGTCCAAAATTTATGGGCCTAGGCCGCCGGTCCACGCAGAGATTAGGGTAGGCTTGCGTTTGGTTTGATTTTTGAACTCGGGTCAAAAGTCTTTAATGGCTTCGCGCGTAGGGTCATACGATTCACGACTGAAGGTAGGCCGGGTTCAGGATTTGGAGCCAACACTTGGGTAGTTTTCTAAATTAGGCTCCCTTTTTGGGTCCTTATTATAACACGGCACCTATTATTTAGGGTACCCCAAAAGGGACCATAATTTTGACAACTACCCACTTCCAGGAATAGGAATTCGGATGCGTTGATGGCCATTGGCTGGTACGACGTGTCTGTTTCTGACAGCCTTGGCATAACACGCAGCTGCAGCAGTGAACCCCGAAACTCCGAGCCCACGCAAAGCATGGAGCTCAGCCTCAAAGACCCTTCGCAGGATGTGTCTTTGCGACGCCTGTTCGGCAACTCGACAGACAAAAGCATAAATCCTACTGTAAACCCCAATTCCCAAATCCTAAACTCAAAAAACTCCCCCAAACTGCACTAAACCCCTAAACCCTAAACCCTAAACCCTAAAACCTAAACCCCTAAAACCAAAGAGCCCGAGAGCCCCGGCGGGATGGAGAAAGGGATCTCCAACGTAGCTTGGAGAAGGTCCTGCCTTGGAGAAGCTGGGTAGTTCCCTAATTTGGGGTTTAGGGTTTGGGGTTTGGGGTTTGGGGTTTGGGGTTTGGGGTTTAGGGTCTCTTTTTAGGTCTCAAAGTTCCCTAATTTAGGGTCCCTTCTTAGGTCCCAAATATAGTATGGAACCCTGGTCTGCCTTGGAGAATCTTGGAAACCGGCGGAGGCTGGGCAGGAAACCGAGGGTTGGGCAGGGTTAAAGTTTAGGATTTAGGGTTTATAGGGTATAGGGTATAGAGTTTAGGGTTTAGGGTTCAGGGTTTAGGGTTTAGGGTTTAATAGGGTTTAGGGTTTGGGTTCTTTTTAAAGGGCTCCTTTGAAGAGACTCTTTTTGAGGGTTCCTTTAAATTGTTCTTGTATGATTAAAGGGATCGTTTTAAGGGCTTCTTGAAAGGGATCTGGTTGAGGCTTCCTTTAAAGCGTTCCTCCAAGAGGCTTGAGTGGGTTTGAAGGGCGGAGTATAACTGCCTTAACAATTAGAGTGCTTTAAGGGCCCATGCAAGTGGCTTTTAGGGTTTGGGGTTTAAGGGACTACCTTTGGCCTAGACAAACGCATCAAAGGGATTCCTGTGTAGGTGCCTTGCAATGAGCCTGAAGGGTTAGTTCCTTACAGAACTACGTTGTGTGCTGCTGGCTCTGGGTTTTGGCCTCCAGGTCGGTTGCTTAGGCGAAATTTCCGAGTTAGGGCTTTGGAACCCGGGGTTCAGGGTGTAGGGCTTGTGGAGTTTAGGGCCCGGAGTTTCGGGTTGGCTTAGGGAAGCCTTCTGACCCGTCGTGCCAGATTTTTTTGGAATCCTCCTAGGTCAGGTTCTCGCCCACATCGCCCCCAAGCTTGGCTGGATCCCTAAACCCTAAACCCTAAACCTACTACGCAGGTTCACAAGATCATAAACCCGAACCTTATATGCCGAAGCTCACGTGCACCCTAGCTCTCCCCCTCAACCCTAAGACGAAGCTCCCCTAAACCTCGCTTTTGGGGTTAAGCTCGACTGCTGCAGACCTGAAGCGGCCGAAGGTGGACCGTTGCTTCGGGCTTGGGACGGAAGCCCTCGGTATTAGGGTTTAGGGTTTGGGGTTTAGGGTTTAGGGTTTAAGGCTTAGGGTTTAGGGTTTTATCTGGCAATCTTTTTATGCTCCTCCACAGTACCTCTAGTGCTTGGGGTTTAGGGTTTAGGCACAAGCAGGTGGTTCTCTAAATTGGGGTCCCTTCATAGTTCCCCAATGTAATACGGCACCCTTATGAAATGGACCCTAAAAGAAACCCTAATTTAGGGAACTACCCACATCCAGGCGTCCGCGCCCAAGCGCAGAGAAATTCATCGCTTTTGCTCCACCACCCTTCAGGTAGGGCTTCAACACCTGGGCTTGTTCAATTTGGGTGAGAAATGGGATAAACACCCGATTACAGTAGTAAGCAAAGTAGTTCAGTAGATTGCTCACCACTTGATATGGCCTCCATATATTCAAAGCCTCTGTTTCCTGCTAAATGTTGTGGTCTAGAAACAGTTTTTACACCCAATGAAGCTTAAAGCTCGCGCAAAGATGTAAGCAAGTCGAAACATCGACCAATGTACTAACCACCGCTGGATCAAGGGATTTTAATGTACGAAACGAAACTTTTCAGACGCCTACAAAGCATATACTGTAGGGGCCTTAATAACTATGAATAGAATATGGCCTTGGGGGTGCATTATAGCATAATTAAGTATCATAAGGAACCAAATTAGTATTGGCAATTATTTAAGCCCCTATACTACACCATTCCGACGTCCCGGATCCATTGGCCAAAAGAACCTTAACCCTAGAACCCTAAACCCTAAAGGCCCTAAAAGCCCTAAAAGCCCTAAACCCTAAACCCTAAACCTTAACCCTAGAAACCTAAACCCTAAAAGCCCAAAAAACCCTAAACTTGGGCTCCCAGCGCGCTGCATCACAGGGACAATCGTCGCTCGGTCACAGTCCTCATAGGTCGCTTTCATCCCAAAGTTTAGGGGTTTAGGGGCTAGCGGTTCTTTTTTGGGGGAGAGGAGGGGGGGAGGGTGTTAGGGTTTAGTGTTTAGGGTTTGGGGCTTTAGGGGTTTAGGGTCAGGCTGTAGCCCATTATCCAAGCAGTCCTTGCCGAGTCCGGGGGCAAGGGAATCCTGGCCTCACAGTACATACCTCTCGCAGTAAACGCAAGGTCCGAGTTTAGAATAGCCCCACTCTTCACCGAGACCCTAAACAATCAATCTTACTTGCTAGCTCCACGGTAAGATCCCTAACGCCAAATCCCACAAGCCTGTACCTCCTAAGCCCTAACGGTAAATTGAACGACGGTAGGCCTTCGGAAGGAAGCCCAGCGCAATGAAGTCGTCAATCAAACCCTCCCAGTTCATGGTGCCTGCGGTTCACGGTTTGGGGTCGGGGGCGGTCGACGGGTTTAGGAGTGAGGGTTTAGGGTGCCGGTAGTCGCAGTTTGGGATTTGCTGCCATGGGGTTTGGGATTTATGCACATGGAGGGCGTTTAGGATTTCGGATGGCGCGCTTTCAAGATCGCTGCTGCAAAAGCCTCCACTGGCGCTTAACGGCTTGCAGAGCTTTGTTTTCGATTAGGGTTTAGGTTGGAGTTTTAGAGCTTATAAGGCTTAGCTTGGCTGTCATGTGCATTAAAGCTACACCACATCGACTAGCCGTCAAAAGGAAGCACAGCTTTGCCGTCATTACACCTGAAGCAGCACTCTCTGTTTGCCTGCTCATTGCTGCCTCTTGTCAGTTCAAGGGTGCTTTGTGTTCTGTAATGCGGAAGCTTCGCACTCCCATCATCAAGATGCCTGTACCTGCATGCTGCGAAGCTAAAAGCTAAGTAGGGGATCACGAACGAGACAGCAAGTCAAGACTGACAACAATTGATTTTAACTCATACTCAACACCCTACTAAGTTGCAGGCCCGTGGCTGCTTGATCCCAGGCGCTTGATTAAGCCAGGGGAACTACGGCTTCTTGTGGGCTTCGTCTGTCTCTATCCCAACTGATTGGGCTTCCGCTGGTGCTCCACGCCGCTAACATATGTGTAATTAACAATATTGGGCTGCCTGGGAGCCCGCAACGCGAAGGCTACATAAATGCCCCGGGCGCTTCGTAAAACCGCAAACATGAGCTGAGCGCTCAAACCCTGCACCTACGTGGATGATCGCCGTAATGATCTGGTCTTGCTGCGACCTTGCGCCGACTGTGAGGGGTTTCTCGAAACGAGGGCCCCACTTAGGGTTTATAGGGTTTACGTTTAGGGCTCAGCGATTACGAACCCACTCTTGTAACAAAGACACGAGCTCTACTCGAAACGAATGAAGTCTCTGATGTAGAGAAGTATCCAAGGTTTTGAGGCCGTTCGGGTTCAGGCTAGGGTTTTAGTCTGGGGACCGTTGGCTCAAAGTGACTCAGGTGCCCGAGGGTCAGAAATTCGGGCTTGGTGTTTCGGGTTTTGGGCCTGAGGTTCGAAGTTCAGGGTTGAGGGTTGGGTTTATGGATAGGGTCTAGCCTAGGACCTGTTTAGGGATTCGGGGAGATTTTCTGGCGAAGAGCCTGTGGACATGAATGCTTGGTGTTTAGGGTTTAGGGTTCACTGGCTAGGCAAGAGGGGGGAAACCCTCAACCCTCAACCCTAAACCCAATGGGGCACGGGTGGGTTCCTTTCTGGTTGGGGATCAGGTTTGGCAGGAGACCAAGCCAAAACTGCTATATGGGGGGTTTCCGAAAATATGGGGTACATTATTTGGGGGTCCTTATAATAAGGATCCTACTATTTGGGGTGCTATATTGGGGTCAAGAATATGGGGGTTTCCGAAAATAGAGGACCTTAATATAGTACCCCAAATAGTAGGATCCTTATTATTCACAGGCAGCAGTCGTGGCAGTCGTTGCAGAAATAGTAAGGGCAACTGATTCAGCAATGGAGTTGCCAAATCAAGTACGTCGATCCATCCGGATAGACACATTGGCTCGACAACATCCTGAGGGTTTAGGGGTCCCGAGACTCCGTGCAGGTCTTGAGTCGAACCTCAACTTCAGGTGCCATACGAGACTCTGGCAAGCAGGTTCCTGTGCAACACGTGCACCAAGCAGGGTAAGTAGGTAGGTAGGTAGGTAGGCAGGTAGGTGGGTAGGTAGGTGGGTAGGCAGGCAGATAGGCAGGTAGGCAGGCAGGTAGGATAGGTAGGCAGGTAGGTCGGTCGATCGATAGATAATTAGGTAGATAGATAGATAGATAGAGAGAGAGATAGATAGATAGATAGATAGATAGATAGATAGATAGGTTCAGATAGAAAGAACTAAAGATACATAGATAGTGGGCAGATAGGCCGATAGGAAGATAGATAGACAGACTATGATAGGTGGATCGAATAAACAGATATAGCTACAGATAAGAGCAGATCATTCCTGCACAGATAACCCTAAACCCAAAGCTTGCACACGTCTGCCTGTGGTGTTTGCTTCATTGAGGCTTGTCCTGGGGACCTGACGATGGGATCTCTGCGACCAAGCCGAAATCGAGGAGGACCTGGGCCCCGAAAACGAGGCGGTGATAAGCTGGGGAATTAAGCCCTAAACCCTAAACCCTAAACCCCTAAACCCTAAACCCTAAACCCTAAACCCTAAGCCCTAAACCCTAAACCCTAAACCGTTAAGGAGCTTGAAGATTCGAAAAGCCTATGGTGCTCCAAGCTTTTAGGATGCTTTAGTTTTGTGAATCTAAGGTATCAAATTGCCCTGGATTCGGGATCCCAGCGTAAGCACAAAATACGCCCGGAATTGAAGTTTGGACACACGGGCTCCGGGAAGCTTCAAGAGGGAAAGTTCTGAGCTTTGCGTTTAGGGTTTTGGGGTTGGCCGGAGGAATTTCATGTGCTTCTAGGGTGACTATTGTGGAACTCAGGATGCTTCGGGAGAGGTTGCAGCATCTGGAATCTGCACTCTAGACTGTTGGCCAGTCTTGGTGCCGCACAGTGGCCAGTTCGAAGGTGCAAGTCAGAATTGCTGCCCTAAGCCCTAAACCCTACACATGAAGATAAGCATAGACAGCCCTAACCCAACTAGGCCTGAAAGAAAGCTTAAACCCCCAAAAAACAAGCCAAACCTCAAGTGTAAAACACCATCCCTACGCCAGGTTTCCGGCCAGCTTTCCCTCATCGGGGCCGCTGTTGATCAGCAGAAGGTTTCCAGGATGGGGGTCACCGTGGAAGAACCTAAACGTGACGCTCGTGGTGTCTTGAGGGCATAGGCGTACTGATTCGGGCTTTGTTTGCTCATAGGCTTTAGCTTTAGGTTTTCGGAGGAAACAACTCGCACGGGGTGCTGGATGTATCAATGTGAGGTAGAGAGCTCGGGGTTTCAGGTTTGGTTTGAGAGGAGGAGCCTCACCGTGCTACGCTTAGTGTCTGATGCGTGTGGCTGTCGGCGCCGAGGCACTTCCACAGTTCTGCACACCCCTAAACCCTAAGAGCCTAAGACCCTCAGACCCTAAACCAGAAGACCCCAAGACCCTAAACCCGAAGACCCTAAAACCTAAGACCCCACACCTTTCAACCGTACAGTAAGCTCCATAAGCGGATGCTTCCGAGATGTCTCGCGATTGCAGCCGATCTCAAGGCCAAGGCGAGTCAGGGACTTGCTGGCCCTGCGCCCTCTACCTGGAACCGTCTCCCTGCAGACCCTAAGCAATAAGGTTAGGGCAGAGCCTTTGCAATCAGGTAAGGGTTTTGGGCTTATACTGTTGAGGGATTTTTAAACCCAGTCCCTATAAAAGTCAAAGCCTGAAAATCCGGAAGCAGGACTGAACGTCTAAATACTATAATTATATTAACTATAATAATGATTAGCAGGAGCCCTGACAAGTGTCTTTAAGCTCGCTTCAACTGACGAAGCGCACCCTAGTGCCTAGGATTCTGGGTTATGTGGTCCAAGTCCCGGGCCATTGCTTGGTTTGGGTGTCGGACTGCCCCACGGGCCCAAACCCCTAAAACATAGACCCTTAAAGCCCAGACCCTGCGAGTGGATGACAAAAAACGAGCCCTGAAACTAAAGTCCAGAACGAAGGCTGCAATGCCAAAGTCGTTGCTTGTTCTGATTTGGAGAGGTAATTTTGAAATCCAAAACGAGCCTGCTTCTGTGGGATCCCTAGAATGTCTTTATCAGTTTGGCCTGTGTTCAGCGACTCCGCAGGACGCTCGCGGTGATAGTTTGCGGTAAACATTGGGCTATGTAATGGAATTCAAACCCGACTGAGCCCGGCGCCCCCATGTGAGCAGCTGATGAAGGAAACACTCCTGGAGCAAAGCCTACATCTGCATGCACATTCCGATTGATTGGAAGCTCGAAGAAGCCTCAAGTTCCGAGTTTTCTGCCGGAGCCGATAGCGAGATTAGGACTTTGGTGCCTCAAGTTTAACTATGTAAACCTCTTCTTTATGGCTTTGAGCTTGCGATCTAGGCTGACACTTCTGGGGCTAGGCTTTGGGTTTGAGGGCCCTTTCCCAAATTTTAAACTCTAAACCCCCTACAAACTTGCGCTGAGTTCAACCCACCGAGGAGGTCCCAGGACAAATCTTGGCATTTTTTGGAGTGCGGCCTCAAGATTTCGAGTCCTGGTTCCTGTCCATGGGTTTAAGGTTTACGGTTTATGCCATAAACCCTAAACCTTATATAAACCCTACAGGCCCTGCACCCTACACCCTAAACTTATCTTTGAGTCCTGCGCATCAGCGATGCCATCGAGGATTTCCTCGGACGAGAGGCTCGTCAGCTTGGTGCCGTCCTTAGCTGTGGCGGACCCCCCCCCCCCCCCCCCAGGCCCCTCCTAATGAACCCTCAAAGCTGAAACTTCAATGGTTCAGGGTTTAATTAGGGTTTAGGGTCCTTCAGCTTAAGATTGGAACCCTGATCCTTTAGGGAATGCCCTCCTGGGGAGGAGATTGAGATCACAAGATCAAGACACGGTCTAGTGAAAGGTCAAAGATTCAGCAAGCACCCGACTCCCGACCATCCAACTGTTGCAGACAACTGTATCCTGGAATCCCCAAACCTGCAACACAAACCGAAGGCAAACCCACCAATCCAGAAATCTCAAATCCAAAACCCCATCAGTACTACACCCACTGCCCGACATACAACCCTCAACCCATTGGCCGTTGAAAGGCCTTGGGGCCTGAAGCCCGACCAACGACCAATATGCATACCGGGAAGCGAGCTCCTCAAGCAATCAAGAAACAGGAGATCCGGCATGACCCCCAACCAACCCCTTCCTCTCGGAAGAGATCGCTCAACTTCAAAAGCTACAAAGCCGCATCAAACCCTGATCCCTCGACTAGAAAAACCGTCTCAGCTCCTGGCCACCCACTGGGAAACGAGCACCCGGCGGGTCGTATAGTCCTGCAGCGCACATGAAGAATTGCAGGTCTCTTGCTGAGTGGCTGTACCATCTTGCTGCGGGTCTAGGAGTCTTGGAGGTTTGAGTATCGGGGGTGTAACTAAGAGAATCGCAAAAAAGGCGTGTTAAGCAGTGTTTTAAAGGCAAGAGAACCCAGGGCACCACTCTATCTCTCGAATTGCGAAGTCACCTGACTCTGCAGAGCAAGCCCTGCCGCAACTAGACCTCTGTTACTTTAAGGGACGAGGTTCCAACCATACATTTCAATACCAAACTAAGTGTCTTCGGATGGCCCGATCATATGGAACTTTGGGATGCCTGCAAAAGTGCCTTCATGACTTTCAATCGGGTTCTGGGGTATATCATACTTTTCATATTACATCAGGACTATTATACAGGCACACCATGACTAACTTGTCGAATCTAAACGAAGCCTTTAACTCAGCGCCATGGCGGTCCATGAAAACCTCAGGGACCATGACGCGGGAGCAGCGCGGTTCGGACGCGATGAGCTTCTTCATCTTCTGCTGGTTCAAGGCCTGGGTTTAGGGTAATGCAGGGGCCTTAGGGTTTAGGGTTTAGGGTTTGGGGTTTAGGGTTTAGGGTTTTCAAGGCCTGGATTTAGGGAAATGTAGGGGCCTGAATAATCAGAATAGCCTTTTGGGGGTTCCTTATGATAATTTACCCCGAACCCTATTCTAATTATTAAGGCCCCTATATTAACGGGTCTGGGGTCCAAGGTTGAGGTTCTACGGAGCTTAGCGTTTGTGGTTTGGGGTTGTTTATTGGGTTTGGAGTTTGGGAATTAAGTTACTCAAGTCGAAATCTCGGGCCTTACTGGCAACACTCCATGATGCGTGCAACAGGCCTTGCCACCATAGGGGAGTGACATTAACTAGCAATAAGGAGAATACTGTTAGCATCACTAGCTGAATCTATCTTTCATGTGTGTACATTACTACATTCATGCAAACACAAACAATCTAGCTAGAAGGCCACTGATTTAAATCGTGCGTCGACTGCGTGACGGAATGGGGATGAACTTGCACCCATGAGGTTGGGGGCTCAAGCTCATCACATCCCGAGCACAGCTCGGACGATAACCTCCACGGATTCTTTAAGTCCCGTGCAGGGAAACGAATCAACACTACAAGAATGAGAAAAACAAAAAGGCCCACACGGGAAGCTGTTATATAGAACAACGGTAACAATGCAAATTTTTAGATATCTGCACAGCTACCAACTGCAGGTGGAAGCTGAGCCATGGTTAAGGGCTACTTGGAGGATCATGGGACTTAGTAAGTAAGGTTATAAGTACCCGACCTTGGATTATAAGTAATTATAAGTCTAGTTACCTTACTTATAACCCTAGTTACTAAGTCCCATGAACCTCTAAGTACGAGTTCAAGTTCCAAGAGCCCTAAACCCTAAACCCTAAACCCTAAACCCTAAATCCAAAACCCTAAACTCTTGAATCTCCCTGCCTCATTCCGGAAGTCGAGCTCTGTGTAGAGGCCTTCTCCAAACACTTCAACGAGAGCCTGCGGAAGGGTGCCAGGTTTTAATGTAGGGGCCTTAATAATAAGAAGAGGGTTTGGGGGTATACTATACTCTCATGAGAATAAGGAGCCCCCCCCAAATATCTTAGGTTAGGTAATTCTTAAGGCCCCTATATCAGGACTTTGGGGTTTTGGGTTTAGGGTTGATAGAGTGTGTTTGGGGAGGATCTCAGGTCTAGGAATTCTCCGGAATCCCCAAAACCTGCTAATCAAGAACAGATTCTGAGGAATAGGGTTTAGCGTTTAGGGTTTTAGGGTTTTAGGGTTTAGGGTTCAGGGTTTAAGGTTTAGGGGTCAACAATCAACAGTTACAATGATTTGCAAGCATATTATGTGAACTCGCCGTAACTCACAATCCTAGCAGCTTCCATGCTTCAACTGAGCCCGAAGGGAAGTCTAACGAGTTGGAGTTTGGGATAAGGGGATGGGATTTCGGGATGCTAAACATGATCCGCGTGACGAGAACCCCAATGTTCGAAATCGAGGCATTCCGAACAATAAAACTAAATTCCAACATGCCCTCGTCTGGCGACAAGCAAGGCCACACAGTCAAGAACACAAACTAAACCCTAAACTCTAAACCCCAAAACCTTAAACCCTGAACTGCTCCGCAAACCTCGCCCTGAACTCGGGGCTCAAAACCCCAAACCCTCTGAGGAAGTTGGGTCCAGAGAGTCCTGGAGCCCGCTCTACAAAATCCCACTGGCAGCCCCTTCGCTGGGACCCAACCCCAACTCTCAAAACTTGCGAACAGGTTTCGGGTGTAGTCTGGGTTTACGATTCAAGGATTTTGAGATACTTTTGTGTCATCCTGGTGGTGTTGGGGTTGTTGGTCAAGTTTGGGGTTCAGTGTTTAGGGTTTAGGTTTAGGGTTTAGGGTTAAGGTTTAGGATTTAGGGTTTAAGGCAGGTAATCGTGCCTTCCAGTCAGTGAGCTGGCTAGTGAATCGCGATGCAAGGTCGGTAGTGACGGCTGCAGCTTTCCGCATGACATACCTGAGCTGATGCTCTAAGCTTAGGAGCTCGCGCAGGTCAACAACCCAAGAAGCACCACAGAACTCTGAAGAGTGGGAAGCTACTTACCAGGAACCGGATAGGGGAACGACACCTTTCGTTACTTCGTCTTCGGATCTCCAGTTGCAAAAGGCCCTAACATAGACTGAATCTCCTCCTATTATACCCTACATTCCTTCCCCTTCATTCCTACAGCCTATGATCACTGGCCCGGTGCTCCTCGAGCAATGCATGATCTCAAAGTAAACCTTCAACCTCCGATGTGGGAAGGCCTGCAATGAAATCGCAACATACATGCCCACACAGGCAGAAGTCATAGACTTAAGTAACATAAGCATAGCCTCAAGTGAAGGCATCCAGGTTCCGTGACCCTGCTTGGTGACAGGCCTAAACTGTAAGCTGAAGACTAAGAGCACCGAAGCTCTCGAAGCTCTAGTGCCCTACACATCGACAGCTTCAGTGCATTCTCCAAGAACAGGCACCTCTCAACCCTGAACCCATCTAAATCCCCTTAACCCTGCATCCAAAATCTGAAACTAGAAACCCACAACACTACAGAACCCTAAAGCCTAAACCCTAAACCCCCAAAACCCCAAAACCCTAAACCCCTAAACCCTAAAACCCTACATGCCTAAACCCCTTAACCCCTAAACCCCTACAAACCCTACTCCCCGAACACCAAGGGCCGAACCCGGAAGCCTTTCCAAGCGGGTGGCAGGTCGCGGCTGATGGTTGGCAGGGCACCCGGTCGCTGGACCTGGCTTTTGGGTAGTTCTCCAAACTAAGCTCCCTTTTTGGGTCCTTCTTATAATCCAAGGTTGAACCCATGGGCCCCTAACATGGGCCCTTAGGGGATTCTAGGGTCCCTTAAGGTTATATATAGGGTATATATTAGGTATATTAGGGTCCCAGGGTTAAGGGCTCATACTAGGGGCCCATGGGTTCTACCTTAGATATAAGGGTGCCGTACTATACTGGGAATTCAAAGAGGGACCCTAATTCAGAGAAGTACCCTCTTCTTGTGGGGCCGTGAGTGCGGGTTTAGGACCTTGGTCTTTTGGGGGTCGTGGCTGAGGTGAGAGACTCAGGGTAAGGGGCTTACGCACTTATGGAACTTATGGGTTTGTAGGGTTGACTTTCAGGATTTGCGGCAACAAGGCCTGTACACCCAAAATAAAGGCACTATGACTATAATCCACATACCTGAAAGCATCGTCATACAGAAGGAACACCGGCACCCTAAAAACCCCTAAACCCTAAACCCTACACCCTAAACCCTAAACCCTAAACCCTAAACCCTGTCCACACAAAGAAGATGCCGACAGCGCCAAGTTGGAGTCCTACTTTCAAACCGAAACAACTCTTGACCCGCATATGGGTGGTTGTCAAAATTATGGTCCCTTTTTGGGTCCTTATTATAATACGGCACCTATTATTTAGGGTACCCCAAAAGGGACCATAATTTTCACAACTACCCAAATATGACAAACGGATTCACCAACAACCTACAGCTGAAGGGCTTTTGCACTCCAATTAGGGAGAATAGCCTACTGTTTGTGGGGTTTGGGACCCTGAACCCATAATCCATAGCCATGAACCCATTGAGCCACACGGAAAACATAAAATCCAGAAGTTGGCCTTCACAGCCACCTCGTCGCCAGTGTCCTTCAACTTGGCCTGTGCAGAGTGTAGTCTACTTGGAGGATTATGGGACTTAGTAAGTAGGGTTACAAGTACCCTAATTGGGGTTGTAAGTAATTATAAGTATAGTTACCGTCTTTATAACCCTAGTTACTAAGTCCCATGATCCTCCAAGTAGGGGCTCCCATGGAACTTCGCTAGAGCAGCCCACATTGAGCCGCCTAAACCTAGGATACCTTCGGGGGGCTCCTTGTTGTACATTCTTTCGGGTGCCTGGGTAAGGACTAGAATAGGGCACAACGGGGCATAGTTTAACAACGGACTGTAGGGGAAATATTCAACCCTGCGGGCTACCTGTAGCCCAAAACCCTACCCTTTAGAAGCACTACATAAAAAAAAACTCGTAATAAGGAGCCCTGAAAAAAGTAGGTTTTTGGGTGCTACCGATAATTCGACCACTACCACATGTCGGATGGTCCCGGTAGGACTTGATCTCCTCGCCTGGTTTTTCTAAAGGGGTTCAGGTTGTGGGGCAGCTTGGGGCTCGGCGCCGGGGTTTAGGGTTTAGGGTCCCAGATTGTTTGGGGCTCTTTCTCATGCCGCTAGTGGTGGTAGTGGTGGTCGAAATTTCGTACAACGGGAAGCCAAGGTTTCGCGAATTACGGCGGAAGAGTCGAAAGAGTAAGACATCAGAGGGTCACAAGATCTCAGCACTGAGCCCATTCCCCAAGATGTGAACAGAAGGGGCTAGAACTCCAACATCGGTTCTACTGGCTGTACGGAAGATAATATCTAGACTGACAGGAACGACACTCGTCAACTTGAAGGGCTGCCATTCGCCCGAGGTTTGAAGTTTCAGGGTTTAGGGTTTCGGGTACATCGGGTTTCTTCTGACACGGCTTCCCTTTCAGGTATCTGCTGACGCAGAACACCAAGCCCTGCGAACACATAGAAGGCCAACTCCCATGCTCGACCCAATGCCGAACCCGACACATAAAAACAAAAACCCTAGCAAAGCCACAAAATACGTGTTGGGTCGAATATCTGCTGGTGTCGCTGAAAGCACGGGCTTTGACCTGCATGCTCAGCGAACGTCAAACGGTTGTGCCTTATAGGGTTTAGGGCCAGGGTGTTTCGACCCCTTTGAATGATGTGAAGCTCGGTCCCAAGGGACAGAGCGTTGTAGCAAACCCTTGAGGCATCAGAGCTAAGGATTCAAGAATTTGGGTAGTTCTCTAAGTTAGGGTCCCATTTTGAGGTCCCCAATATAGTATGGCACCCTTATAAAAAGAACCCGAAAAAAGGACCCTAATTTAGAGAACTACCCATTTAGAGAAAAGTTCCAGGTCAAAAGACCAGACCGTCTACAACCTTCAAACTTACATACTCTTTTACGCCCACGGGATCATGAACCCGAACGCACCAGACTGCAATCTTCCGGCGTTGGTTTACCTATGAACTGTGTGCTTCCTGCAACAGCGCAGTTTTACCACTCTGAGCATACATATGCGTACATATAAATAAATAAATAAATAAACAAATAAATATAAATAAATATGCTCCCTCCAACTGTATTACCAAACCCGAAACCCACAAGTTTGTGGCTCGCTTCTGGCTAACATTCGCCTGTCAAGAAACATCGCAACAAACACCATGCATTCTGCCCTGTACGCCGCAGATAGCTACGGGTCCTACTCTCGCAAATCTTCTGTCAGGGACAAGTATATAGACGGGCTCAAATGACACGGAAACTGCAAAATTTCTGGCACGTCCTGAAAAATCTCGACCTGAAATGCGAGACTGTCGAATACGAAGACTAAGATGCCAAACAACCCCGCATTCCGAAACTACACACGGGACGAACCGCAAATCGGAGGTACATACTTGACCTGAATTCGCCGGCTGCCTTGTAGACTTGGGCCAAGCTCGCTGCGGCCACAGGCTCCGCTGAAAACTCGGAAAAAACCTTTGCAAACAAACACATTAGGCTCAGGGCTTCTGTTGTTTAGCGGATATTCGACTTAAGCCATTCCAACATTTCTTTAGCTTGTAGCGAGCTTTTGTGGCTTGTTGATTCAGTTTTTCAAGGTCCTACGTTTGTCATGTATATCTTCGAAATGTTGTTGGAAGATCCTTTCAAGTTTGAAGCTGCCAGTCCCACGGCCCTGCTGCGGAATTGGGTATCTCCCTGCATGCTTGTGCCTGACACCGGGTGACGTGTTTCAAGCATGAGATCTTGCTGCTTAAATTCATTGTTTTTGAAGGACCTGTCATGAAAAAGGACAGCGCTGGGCCAGATTTCCATGTCTATGACATGCGCGTAAGAAGGGCATCGCTGGTAGGCTCCCTCGCAGGCCTACCTTGAGCCCCAGACCAAATGTTTACATATGTTTACATGTGGTGCATGCATTTAAGGCAGGTTTTCGTAATCGCAGCCTGGCCGGTTGAATACGATTGAAGACTGGCTCCTGCGCGGGAAGCACGTCTGTTCTTCTGTTCTTTGCGTGCGTGTGTGTGTGTGTGCGCGCGTGCGCATCTGTGTGCTTGGTTTTGTAGACAAGGCGAAAGGACTGACGAATGCGAATGATGCACTGTCCACAACAAAAGTTCAGCTGTGATCGTCGTCATACTGGATAGATTGATGCAACATGCCACACATATGACTGAGGTATGATCGCGGATCAGGTTGTCCAGAGAAAGGACCAGCTGGTGAGGAGAGTGTCAAAAGCGCGCAGCGATTGCAATCGCCTTGCGCCCTCCATGTCATGCTTTCATGTTGCTAACGGCTGGCGAACCTAAATTTCGGGCTTTGTGGTCAGGCTGCCTCTGCCAAAACCCAACACCAACCCTGAAACCTGTTTTCCCAGCTACGTGCTGCCAGCAAAAAACCATGTTTCGTTTGGACAACAGTCAAGATCATGCACATAGACTGGAGAAGCATGAAAACAAACAAACCCGGAGTCCCTGGCCCCCAGCTTAAATCCCAAAAGACCTACACGCGAAGCCCCTGCACACTACTCCCGAATGTAAGGAACCAGGCAGACTTTCGTGGCGACGAAGCCCTTCACCCTGAACACTGAATCAGAAATCTATTTCATGGTTCGGGTGCTATACATCACCCACATAACAACCCCGCAGAACCAAAACCTCGGAGACCTACTGCTGGAAGGTTAGGGATGGATCCTACTACTCTTTTAGGATCGATCTTCGGCCTGTCTGTGGTTTAAGAGTCGCCATGTAGCGCTGTAGAGAGGACGCTTAGATCGCAATATCTTGCCTCATTCTGCATCACCATAAGGGTCCAAAAGACCGAATAATGAGGTATTTGGGCTACTGATAGTATTTTTGTAGGTTGGTATTTTGGAGGGTAGATGATTATGAAACCCTAAGCCAAAAACCTTAAACCCGAATTTATAAGTACTTGGACCCGCTGGGCACTGCTTCAAACCCCGAACCCTAAGGCACTGAAGAGCTTCCCTTTTGGGCTTATAGGGATGGTTTAGGGTTTAGGGTTTAGGGTTGAGGGTTTAGGGTTTAGGGTATAGGGATGTACCCACAGACTCCAAAACCCATTAATTAAGGAACATACCTTAGATCATATTAGGGGTCCTGATACAAAAAAGGTGTATACCTTAAGTAAGGGATTTGGGAGTCTCTGGGTACCTACCTATAACCCTAAACACCTAACTTTTATGAAGGAATAGAGAAAGAAACCATAAGACTCTACCCTTCGAAAGAAGTAGTAAACCCTAAACCCTAAACCCTAACAGTAATAGGGTCTCTCTGGTCGGGCATTTTGGGGCCACAGGTACCGTTTAAGGTTCAGGACTTAGGGTTTAAGGTCTATAAGGTAGGTTTAGGGTTTCGGGTGTAGCCGCTATTTGGCAGGTTGAAATGTCGGATTTAAATAAAGCATCCAGCCGCCTACTGCTGCTAAGTCTTAGACCCATGCAGCAGTAAACTACCTTAAACGCTAAACCCAGACAAATATTTAAGTTCTACGCCCTAACTAAAAGCTAAACCCTGTAAACCCTCTAATTGGAGTGGACATCCCCTTAAACCCTAAGCACTAAAACCCTAAACCCCTTACCCCGAAACGGAAAGATCAGACTGGGCCGAAGGCGCGGAAACGCGTGCGTGTAAGTAATGACAGGCCCCAGCGTTTGGGGTTTAGGGTTGGGGCCAAACTTCCAAAACCTCTCTATAGGGTCCTCTAAGGGTCCAAAGGACCTAAAATAATAGGTACTTGGATGCGGGTAGTAGTTGTGTAGGTTACTATTTAGCGGAGTAATTATATGATTATTAGGTACCTGGTCTCTTAGGGTCGCAATGCAAACCTATCGTTAACATGTAGGGTTTGGGGTTCCTGTGTAAGTGTTAAGAAGACCAACTCTGAATCAAACCCCCTAAACCCTAGACCCCGAAACCCTGAACCCCTCAACCCCACACTTCTAAATCCTAAACCCTAAACCCTTAAGAACCACCCGAAATCCCTGAACCCGCAACTAAGAATGATGAAGCTCCGAGTCCTGACCTCACAGCAGGCAAGCCCTCAAAACGTCTGCGCTCGCTGCTATTGCTACCTCAAGCTTGCGGTATATCCCTAACACCCCAGGTACCTACTATATAGGGTACTAGAGGCCCTATAGGGCCCTGTATAGTAGGTACCTGGCGGGTTAGGGTATGATGAACCTTGGTAGTATGATTTTTGGACGCCCTCTGTCCCTCTATTTCGCGCAAGTTCTCAGAAACCTGAAGCCCGAACAGAAACTCGACCAAAAAGCCCGAAGGCCCTCCAAAACCCTGTAAAACCCCTAAATCCTATAAAACCCTAAGAGCTGAACCCTAAACCCGAAGCCCTCTACTCTAAACCCTAAACCCTAAACCCTAAACCCTAAACCCTAAACCCGAAGCCCTCTACTCTAGCCTCGGTTGCTAAGCTGGTCTCCGACCTCCAAACTAGTGTTAGTCATTGAAAAACCTAAACCCTAAACTCTAAATAAACCCTAAACCCTAAACCCTAAATAAACCCTAAACCCTATTTTTAAAGCCCGTCTCCGACCTCGTCCACACTCTTCCCCAACTCCTTCTCGATGATCGCGCGCGCCTCTTCCGTGGAGAAGGTGGCCTCTGAAGCTGTCTTGGCTGCGGGTTCGGGGTTTACGGTTTAGGGTTTAGGGTGTCTAGGGTTGAGGGTCTACTAGGGGTCCGAAGGACCCAAGATAGTTGGGTGCTTGGATTTCGGAGACTTAGTAGTTCAGTCGTTTAGTATTTGGGAGGGTTGGGAGGGTCAATAGGATTATTAGGTACTTGAGGCCTTTGAGGTTGGGTTTGGCGTTCTTCGAAATTTCGTTTGCGGGTAGGCTCCGGGCTTAGCGCACAGAATTTGATCCCATGCTTGCACTAGAAGTCTCAAGTGTAGCAGATTAGCAGCCGTGACAGAGATGTTTCCTGGTTTTGTTGGGCTTCCGTTGGGAAATGGCTGCTCGCCGGGATGATGCAACCTCTACACACGCGAAGACTACTGCAAAGGTATCGTGTGGGCTTATTGCTCTGGCATGCCTTCAGTGTGCACTTCAAGAGCAAGCCAGGTCGAGTTCCACCGTTTTCTGCTAGAAACGACAAAACAGAGGACCAAGCTACACCAGTCCCCGCTTGATGCCAAGCCGCAATGTCGTCTTGAAGGGAACTCAACCTTACACATGATCAGACTTCCCCAAACAGCTGCGAGGTGGGTCTAATCTTGGGTGAGGACATGGTTGAGATGAGAGGGCCTGAGAACCCCAACCGCGAGACCTTGCAAATCCTCGAACTGCAACCTCCAAGCTACATCCGAAGCATTAGGGTTTAGGGTTTAGGGTTTAGGGTTTAGGGTTTAGGGTTTAGGGTTTCCTTGGTTTGGTAGTCGGGCTGCTGCTGTGTTGTTCGGGACCCTAAGCCCTAAATCCGCAAACCCTGAACCCAGGCCAACACAACACCTCGCCTAGAAGCACGAAGCGACCAACGAACTACCGAGAGGGGGGATGCAAACACCAAGTGCTGCAAAAACAAGTTCCGCCTAAACCCTGGCAAGCCCTAACACCTAAACCAAGAAAAACCCGAAACACTCTAAACCCTGAAAACTAAAAATCACCACCAGAAGCTAGGGATCAGGCTTTGGGGTCGAAGGGTTGAGGGTGAGAGATGATACATTTAGGGTTTAGGGTTTGGGTTTAGGGTGCAACTTTGTACCACTTCACAGGTGGGTAGTTGTCTAAATTAGGGCCCTTTTTGGTCCCCAATATGGTACGGCACCCTTATAAAACGGACCCTACAAAAGGACCCGAATTTAGAGAACTACCCAGGTCCAACTTGAACAAGCATCACTCGCTTGCAACCCTCTGCTCGCAAGGAACTAGCCTCGTACAGTTGACGGTATGCTCAGTACTACTGTTACCATTCATATTGCCATTGCTATTGCTGTTTGTTCCAATATTACTATTGCTACTACTAAAGCTATTACTATAGCTGCGACAGTACGGCAGGTTGTACCCATCCAACCACTCGTCGCCAAGAGCCATCAGGCCAAATCGCTCACAGGGATTGGGGTCTGGGTCAGGTGCTCTTGGCTTGAGGTTCTTGAGCAGGTCTGGCCGAACGCAGCAAGCCACAAGGGTTTAAGGATTAGGGTTGGACCCCGCGCTCTAAGACTTTCTCCGGGCAGCTCTTCCATGACCACAGGCGACAGCACATCGGGGCGGATGCTCAACACTTGGCCCAGCTTGATGAAGGTGGGGCCTAGGATTCCGGGTTTGTCGGGTCGTAGATTACAGTTGCATGGTGGGGGGGCTTAAGGTTTAGGTGGACCCTCACCATCCTTGGCCCTTGTTTTTGTTCTAGTATGGCTTAGCTCGATCGAATGATTACCTAGCGGATCAGAGAGGGGTTTACTGCAAGTCTTCTAGACTCTAGGCGTAGATTGCCCCTGGAAGTTGTAGGAGTCTCCCCTAGCTTCCTTGTCCGGTTAATCATTTCTGAACATCCTGAAACCTCCCAAGCCTCCCACAAAAAGCCAAAGGTCTGAAAACAAAAACACATGCCTGCAAGTAGGTTATTTCAGGAGTCCGGCAGCGAGAAAACTCATCCCTGGAAAGCCTACATTACATTGTATGCTTGGGTTCGGCGACAACAAATCAGGGTAGCTCAACATAAGCCCACATGAAGGGCTCTTGGATTCGTTTAGCTCTATGTTCATGGGGTCCACAAGGCCCAGGGTTTGCATCGACTTCACCGCATCCTTGGCCAAAGAGCGCTCCTGCAGCAGCAAAGTGTAGGACAGTGTAGGATTTAGGGTTGCGAACCGTGATGTGGTGAAGTGAGGCTTCCAATGCGTTGTGCAGGCTACAAGACAAGAATTAGGCTTTGGCGGTTGTTGTGTTGGGGCCTCCTGATGGACTCTCCCCGCCAGCGGGGGAGGTTGTCGCTCAGACCGAGAATCAATGAGATGGGGGCCTTAATAATTACCTATTTTTTTGTTTTTGTTTAAGGGGGGCGGTCCTTATTGTTGTTATCGTATAATTTACCCGTTATTAAGGCCACGACGTTACCTCTCCTGAAGTCTACGCCGCAACCTCCCGATCCTAAACCCTATAGACTCCGAACCTCAAGCCTTCATGCCAACCACACCCTAAACCTGACACCCCAAATCCTCAACCTTGCTTTAGACCCCTGATAGATGGGAGTTTCAGAAAATGAGGGTACCTTATTTTGGGGTCGTTATAATAGGGATCCGATTAATTAGGGTACTATATTAGGGTCCCCTATTTTCGGAAACCCCCAGATAAGCACCCCTCCAATGAAAGATGTGATGTCTTTCCTGCGAGAACGGGATGCCAGATTGCCTAGACCAATGTGTTATTGAAACAACAGCCACACACTAGTTAGTAAACCCTACGGAACAAGCATAATTAATACTTTATGCACCCTTCAAAAACCTCGTTCACCCCGGCGAAACATGAGTATACAACCTTGCAAACCCCTCGCCCTAGCTCAATCTTACAAACCCCTAGCCCTAGCCTTAAGACACCCTAAACCCTAAACTTAAAACACCCTCTGGACCGACAAAGCTTAAATCAACGACTTGCCGCAGCCTCCTCGGACCAGCGGCCTGTCATCGCAGCAGAGAAAGCGCTGGCGATCCACGGGGTGGCGACCCTTCCAAGAAGGGCTTTAGTAGTCTTGGTAGTATTGTTGTTAGTGGGTAGGGTTTACCATTTCAGGGACAGGGTCGTCTGCGGTTTAGGGTTTAGGTTTTTTGCTGGTCGGGTTGTCTGGGGTTGTTGGGTTTAGGATGTTGGGCCTAGGGTTTGGAAGTGGCGTCCCTTCGCAGACGGTTATTGGGGGTAAGGGTTTGCTGTCTTCGTGCCAATAAAGTACATTTCACCATCGGTCCAAATACTTGGGGGTTGAATGTTGAGTGAGGTTTCGCTTGAGAGAATTGCAGCTTCGCCTGAGAGTGATAGCTTCAGCCCTAGGCCAGGCTTCAGCTAGTAAAGAGTTCGATGTCGGGCCTCGGGATTCAGGGTTTAGGGTTTAGGGTAAGCATCACCAGATAACGATTCCTTGCGGGCGGGGCGGGGGAACTTAATTTGCCTCATCGTGGGGGTCTTCAGGGCGGGAAGTCTGAGGCCATGAGCCGTAAACCGAAAAACCCAGAGCTGGGAACCCCTGATCCCCGGAGCATGTACAGAATCCTGAACGCTTCAGTGCTGATCAAGGTCACTCTAACATAGCTCTACTCTTGAGAACCCAGGTACCCCAATCCTAGGCTGCCAGTCTGAACTGCGGTTTGCGAAACCAGTCTCTGCCCATGAACAAATACATTCACGAACACTCATCGAAACCTGGAAATCACCCCTATGATGATTTCTCCCATGAGCATTTAATCTTTGGCAAGATCGCGGCGCACCCCAAGAAGTCGGACCATCGCCCGGTGACCGCCCCTGCGTTCTTACCTTCGCAGAAATCCAGCGTTAAAGGCTGAAGTGAAAGGGGTTTGGGGCTAGAGTGGTTTGGGGGTTCTTTCCTGAACCCTGATCCCAAAATATCGACGTCGTGTGCTAAGCGCAGGACCAAGCTAAAGACCCTAGGCTTTTCAAAACACTTTCCGGTTCTCGAAACCTGCAGTTCAATGGCACAAGAACGGCCAGAAATCGTAAAAGTCATCCAGGATTGCCAGGGTCTCGAGGTCAAAGATTTTGCACATGAGTCTGCTGGAAAAGCCACCAAAACCCTCAAACTGAAACCTGAGATTGCATGCAAAGGCACCCCAGTAGCTGTTGATGAGAGCACTGTTGTAGACAAGGGGAAGGCCATCTTCGTCCACTTCGCCATCCTGCTCTAGGGGCAAGGGTGGCCCAATCACCTCAACACTACATCGTCAATTTGGGAGTTTCCGAAAAATAGGGTACCCTATTTGGGGTCCTCATAATAAGGATCCTACTATTTCGGGTACTATATTAGGGTCCCCTATTTTCGGAAACCCCCATTTCAGAATCCGGAAACCCCAAAACCGCAATGCCCAACCCTTCAACACAATGAACCCTTGCGTTCGGGTGTGGGGCCAGGAGCGGTTTCGAGTCAATACACCTTCACCCTTATTAATGGTAGGCTACCTATTTAGGTGTTCTATGTGTCAGGTCCTTTGAAACGGATCCTTGAAGGAGCCCTTGAAACGGAATCTTTGGTCTAAGGTTGAACCCATGGGCCCCTAGTATGGGCCATTAGGCCTGTACTACGATCCCCTTAAGCAAAACAGAAGCTCCTCTCAGCTATGGTTATGCTTTAATTTTTGGAGCCCCTACTTCCTGAACCAAAGCCTAGCTGCTCCAGGTCGACTACAGGGGCTTTAATGGTTTTGACCTCCAGTTTAAAGTATAGAGTTTAAAGTGATTCAATGATGCTTTGCACTGGGCCTGTGTGTGCTAGGATCTGGTCTTGGAGGCTAGATTGTGAAGCAATCAACAGACATAAGGGGGAAGCGTCATTTTCTAGCTACACAAAGTCTGTAGAAACACTGAACCATGTCGGAGCTCGAGACTTGCAAGTGGGGTTTAGGGTTTCAAGGTTTAGGGTTTAGGGTTTAGGGGACTGCAAAAGAGGAGACAAGGATTTTGGAGCTCGGGGGTGGGGTTGTAGGTTGCGAATGACCTGCACGGGACAGCATCGGTCCTCCCCAGTGCGCTGATGCGAGACGTAGCTAGTGCGGATGCTGTCATCGCTGAGCTGATCCTCGCAAAATGCTTATCGTGTTTTGAGAGCAGAGGTTGGATGGTTGGATTGGAAGAGCCACGAGACCAATGCTAGCTGGGTTGTATTGTTGTCCGTGTGCGTTTGTGTGTGTGTGTGTCTGTATGTGTGCGCATGCCGGTGGGTGATTGTGCTCGTTCTTTTGTTGCATGGTTCCTTCGTTTTGTGTGTTTGCACGCGAGTGCATAGGCGTATTTGCCTTTGCATAAGGAATCAGAGAATGAGGCGAGGGATAACGGAGTCAGTCCTACCGGCCGCAAGGATCCGCCCTTTTCGAAACCCTAAACTTGCCCTAAGCCCACACCCCAATTAAACCCTAAGCCCTAATTAGACCCCAAGTACAACAAAGTCAAAACCTCTAAAACTTAAAACTTTAAACCTATCTGTGTATATATCTATATATATACACACCCTATAGTATGTATATATATATATATACACCTATTTACCTATTTGTTTTAAACCCCAAAGCCCTGTAACTCGAATCCCCCAACTCCTAAATCCTCGGGTTGATGATATTCATCCTGCAGTACCCAACATAAGGAATATACCACAATTCCCAGAGTTTAGGGTCCTTAAGGTAATGCAGGATTTACAACATCAACCTTAGGGGCACCTTGTCGGAGCCAGGATCACCTGCGCGATCTGCGGATGCGACGGCGGCTTTGATGGCCTTCGGCTGTAGTAGAAGGCTGGTTCCCCCAAGTAGGCCCCTTAATCAAACTTTAAAGCAACGGTAGTAGAAATAATAATAATGGTAATAAACCAGATTCTTAATAATAGTAGTAACAATACTAATGGTAACAATACTCATAAGGGTTTAGGGATTTTAAGGTTCGGTTTCAACACATATCAACCCCAAGACAAACAGTGCCAAAGGGTTTAGGGTTTAGGGAACCCTAAACCCTAAATGAAGACTTCTGAGCTCCAGGCGGCA